GATTTGTTCCCACTTGAGTAGGGTGTTTGACGTATAGGTTGGCGGTAAGTGGGCAATGAAACGTATAATGGTCAGGGTCGTCTCTTTCCCCACATACACACAAATCAGTAGTGATCATTCGGGGAGTGACAAAGAAGTCACGAAAGACCAGCTAGGAGACGTCGATATAAAACCCATAATTGATTTAATGGAGTCCTCAAGCAAAAAACCTACCCGGCCAGACATTTCGATCTATAGTCCAACGACAAAACAATACTGGCCTCTTTGGGATTCACTTCGCATTCGAAATGGCGTCTTATACCGGAAATTCGAATCGGATGATGGGAAGACTTTCCGATGGCAACTGATACTTCCAAGAACCCAGATTCCTGATTTCCTCAAAGAACTACGTAGCAGCCTTACAGGAGGTCACATCGGAATAATGAAGACCATACAGAGAGTTCGTGAGCGCATCTACTGGAATAATGCAAAGAATGATGTGCAAAAGTGATGCCGATCTTCCGATGCCTGTGCATGACAGAAAGAACCAAAGAAACACATCTGAGGCAATCTATGTAGGAGCACCTGAGCATATCGCCTTTGACATATCGGGACGCGTAATGGCAAACCGCACATTGAGTTGATCATTGTTAACGAATTTCGTTTACTGCGCATGCTCAATGGTGTACCGTTGGCCTGGCGACTAAGCATAAGCAACTATTACACAAGCAAGTTCATCATGTAGGTCTTATCGACTATTTACAATTACAATACTACAGAAATTTTTTGTGCTTAATGCATTTGCTTCTGTTTCATTTCATTTTGGTTTATTTTGTTCATAAACATTATATTTAATATCAGTTATTTATAATAATTTCCTTGACTTTAATTCAGCAATTTAAACTGGATTTATTCTTTAATTTGTTAAAGTATATACAAATGGAACATATAGTTATTTACAATATGCAAATGCTTTTATTCCTCACAAGTATATTCAATAAAGATTCAGCTAATATATCCTGTAATGTTTCCTATTTTGCAATCATTCTTAAAAGAAACTTAGTAGCAGTTTAAAATCAATAGTTACCCTCTAACTAATAAAGAAACTTACAACCTAACAAGTTTTAAAACTCCAAACTGTTCACGCCGAGATAACAGAATATTGACCACACACCATATTTATCTCCTTTTAAAATTGTACCAATGTCGTAATTATGCCGAGTTCTCTTCTGGGCATGCGCAGTATGCGAAATTCGTTTAACATTGATCAACTGAATGTGCAGTTTGCCATTACGCTATCGGGACCCATGCCACAAACTTGTGATAGCAATAAATACATCTTCGTTGTTATTGATTACTTCCCCAGGCTGCCTGAGGCATATCCTATTTCTGATCAAGAGGCTGTCACAGTAGCACTGGTAAATGATACAGCACTGGATTTCAGGTTCGGAGTGCCTCTTTAGTTACATTCCAATCAGGGAAGGAATTTTACCTCAGCCGTAATCAAAGAACTCTGCAAGCTACTCGGCATTTACAAAACCGAAATGACGCCTTTACATCCCCAGTCGGATGGCATGATAGAGATGTTTAATCGAACCATCCTTAACAACTTCTCATCAGTGGTTTCCAGAAACCAACGGGACTGGGACAAGAAGTTACTACTATTTTTACCGGCTTACCTCAGTGCTGTCCATGAGACTACCGGCTATTCTCCATCTTGGATGCTCTTCGGTCGTGACCTTCGTCTGCCTTGTGATCTTTTGTTTGGTCACCCTCTGGATGTGCCTTCATCGCCTGAGAAATACATTCAAGATCTCCAGGCCCGGTTTGAAGTGATGCACAATTTTGTACGAGAGCAAGTCAGTTTGGCGACAGAGAAGATGAAGACCCGATACGACACAAGAGTTACTGGACATCAATTCAATGAAGGAGACAAGGTGTGCTTGTGGAACCCGATTCGAAGAAAAGGAATTAGTCTTAAATTACATTCACCTTGGGATGGTCTTTATACAGTCCTAAACAGACTGAATGAAGTCGTGGTTCGAATTCGTAAGCCATCGAAATCTAAACCTAAAGCCATTCATTACGACAGGTTAGGTCATTACTATGGCCATAGCACGTAGTGTAAATTATTGTAAATAGTGTTAGACCATGGTCCTTTTTGTTTCTAAATGTATATTTCATTTGATTTGTATTTAGAATTGATAGTATTTGAATTGTTTTTAAATTAAAATTACTATTATTGTTTATGTTGTTTGTCATTGTAATGTAATACTTATTATTGCATTGATGCCTCAGTTGCAAAATTGCCTTCCTGTTCAAGGCTTGCACTGCCCGGGTCGTGCAGTCCTTAGGAAGGGGGCAGTGCTATGATTTTTGTATTGAATTAACTACTTTTAAAGAGAATGAATTAAAATTGTTTTATATTACCATGTAATGTAGCACAGGGCGTTTTTTTAACGTTTTGTGTGTTACCTTTTTTTATTAAATATCACGTTCTTTGCAATTAAACCATAAAATTCAGTTCAATAGCAATGTTGCAAAATAATTTAAAATCAGCATATTTTTAGGACTTCCAATACACAGTTCTGCATGCTGGAGATAAAGTCCCCCCCTTCCATGGAGTGTTGCCATTGCTTGCTTTTAAATCGTTGAGTTTGTTACTCAAAAATTCATTAAAGTTTTACAAAATATGAAATCGATCCTAAAACAAATTCCAAATTTGATCTTCCACATGCCTATATTCGTAGGAAGATTACATCATTCGAAATTTGATGGCTCTATGTACCATTATTTTATCACATTGTGAGAAATATACATATATTTATGCAGATTTTTCATTATTTAATTTCTCCAAACATAACGCAGGACTCTTAACATTTGATTGCAACAGTTTGAAAAGTGAAACTGACATTTATAATGATTCAACGCAAAACGAAAATAATAGTCCTTCAGGGACAAAGCACCTTTGGACTAATAATTCTCTCTGTGCAACTAATGTCTCATAATTATGATAACTTATTTAAATCGCTGCAAGTTTAGTGTTATTTTTTCAAACATGAGTATTTATTTTTATTCGGCAACATATGTCAAAAATAAGATATATTACTTATACTTATCAAAGATGTTTATTAGTCAAGGCATAAATCGTGATAAGTATAATTACTACGAGCTTTGACCAATACACACTTCTGATTAACTATACAGTAAAAAGTCTGCAATCCGGACTCGTCGGGGCTTCGGTGATTCCGGATTACAGATCATCAAATTAAATCTGGTAAGATGGCATGCAGAAATTATACAATTAAAAATATGAAACTGTAATTTATGAAATAAAGAGCAATTATGATCTAAAGGGTATCAAAATTTACACAAAAAAAAACTTAATATTTATTTGTTTACTTTATTAAACATTTCTTTCAATGTAAGTTGTTTCATTTTTTTTTACTAAACATCCATGCGTAAAGCATACAAAAAAAGAACAAGTTTGTGGCTTTGAGGTCCGGATTACAGACTTTATACCGTATTTGTGTTCAACTTTTGATTTTATGCTGCTACATGATTTCAGGTAAAATAGCTTCTTAATTTAAATGAGTTCGGATTTATCTTAATTTTTTATGATCTATAGCCTGCCTTCATGTCTTAAATCGTCTGTTTAATTATTGTGTACAAATAAACGTCCAAGTCCTTAAGTGCGAAGTTTCTTTCGTTAACAAGAGTTTCTCAGCAATTAAATTTGATAAAATCAGTAATAACTTTTAATGGAATTAAAATTTCTAGTTATTCATATTGAAAACATTCTAAAAATAAAAATCTCGTTTCTTCACATTCTACTGAAAGCACAGTATTTTCCATATTTATAAACGATGAGAATTAAATATGAAAATTTAAGTTCAGTTTAGCCGTAAGCCTGTCAAATGGACATTAAGAATGCATCCTTAAACTTAGCGAGGACAAAAGTATCCCTACTGCAGTGACGCCACGAAATTGCATGCCTGCCGTGGCCTTGAGTTAGTTCTAGGGGTGTTGGTTTGACAGAGACAAGGAAATTCTTTCTCTTAGCCCAGAGAGAAAGAAAAAAACAGATTAGATCGAAGATAAGATAACAGACAATGAGTTGGCTGAGATGAGCTTTGGGAAATTGTCTCAGCTCTAAATATAACAAACATAAGATAAAAGAGAAATTTTCACTGAGCTCCAGGAAACTCTCTCAGTCCTCAGAGAAAAAGTCTTAGGGGGAAAAAAACCTTATTTTGTTCATTAACAATATTTTCTTAAGGCATCATTATTAATGAACAAGAAGAAAGTCTTTTTCCTAATGAGATTTTTTTTTCTTTCTCCTCTAAGAGAGTTTCCTCGTGAGATTCAAGATCTTAGCCAATTCAATATATACCCTTTTTATAGAAAGGTCATACATATGTAAGTCAGTGAATGAGTAACTTCTATTCATTCCAAGAAGTTTAAATACATTTACAACAATACCTTACATTAGAATAAGATTCCATTATAAGTTAAAATAATTAAGCAAAGAGGCTTAGATATTTTTTCTAAAATTATATATAGAAAAACTATTATTGAAATTAATGTGCATCAAAAGAGTTATAAACTATTCAAGTCTAACAAATAAATGAAATGAAGAATCTATTATTGTGATTCTTATGTATATTTTTTTCCTTCAATGATAGGCTTAAAATTACCGTTGTTGGTGTCTGACATTTTACTTCACAGTAATGTCTGGAAAATATTGCACTCGTTTTGTCCGACAGCATTTTCATCCTAACAGGGACAGGTTGAATATTACAACACTTTTGAGTTTATACATGGGGTTTGAATTTTGGGTTAATTTTTGAACCATAATAAAGTGGTTTATATTTGGAAATAATCGGTACTTGGAAATGGTTCATTAGAAATCTAAAAAACTACAAGAATGGCAACTTCCCTAACATTTTTTAACAACAAATGATAGTGACATGAATTTGAGAAAATGGATAAAAATCAACCCCAAAAAGTATAGCATGAACTTGGATTTCTTAATTTATTTTTATTCACTTTTTTAAATCTGTACAATTCAAATTTATAGTCAGTACATATTCAGATACATTACATCTTGCATACAGCCTAAAAAATGAAGGCAAAACAATGCAGCATCTGCCAGGTAATGTGATGCTGTAATAACACCATAACATTGGGCTCACACGTCCAGTATTTATATAATTCTTAGTCATGTGCAATAGTGTTTGCATACAAACATTAAACTATGGAATCATGTAATGAATCATGTAACAAATATATAAACAAATCAAATACATAAAATGCACAAATAACTTAATGAACAGACAAAAAACTAGATCACAAAACACATATGGCAAACATTTTTACACAGAACTTCTGACAATGACCATATCACATATAAATGAGCATAATTAAATAATTAAACACTTGACTAAAAATGAGTATTCAGTACAGGCACAGAGGTCAAAGCAGAATGTTCATTTAGCGAAAATTAATAAAATTACGATGGAAAATTTATTAATAAAAGAGACCAGATAAAAAGTTCACTGACGTCATTAAAATTCATATAAACAAAGTTTAACTACCGGGATTTTGTTAAAGCTCACAAACAAAATCTAAATTTTATCTAAGACTGCATGCTTTTTCTGTAAGAAATTTGAAGATGTTTTAAAACACCAGACTTCAATATGCTTAGAATTTCAAAGATTCCAAACAGTCAATATTTGAACACTTCTGGACAAGTATCTCAAATCTACATTTAAAAAAATATGAAAATGACATACAGAAAATATTTAAGATGTTTCAACTCCATGACAATGAAACAAATTCACGAGATGAGAATTAATATTACAAAATTTCCATAAAATGCAGGTCCAATGAAAAAGAGATCACTTCCATAAATCTTCTAAAGTCTAACAGTCTGTAGTTAAACTTTAAAAGCGTAATTAAGTTGGTTACTACACAGGCCAAAATTACAATATAACATCTAGAGAATACAGTGAAACGGAATGAAAACTTACACGAGGCTATTTAATCTAAATCAGAGCAATTAACAACAGGAAATCTAAAACTACATTATTTTAAAATAATTTAAAACACCTTACAGGTTTTTAAAATAAGCAAAATTTTCTGTACATTTATTACCTCCAACAATAGCTAAGTACCATATTAAACACATAAAAAATCAGATTAAAGGAAAAAAAAATAAAAATAAAAAAATAGATGCAACCCCCTCACAAAAAAGTGTACCCAAAGGACCACATCTGATTGTTGGATGGACAACTGTACATACCTATGCTGATTGTGAAGACAGATATGCTTACATGTCTGAGGCATCACAAAATACTATTCTAGGTAAAATGAAAAATTGTTTTCCTCATCAAGTTTTTGAAAATATCTAAAATAATACTAATGCATTTTCGTTACTAAATTAACATGTTTATGAAGCATGTCATTAAAAAATGCAACCTTAAAAATTTTAAAAATACGAGGAATAAGAGCTCCACATTTACTTAGGAGTGGCTCTCAAATAAAAGAGGATGAAATATATTTTGCCGAGTTTAAGATAAAGCCTAAACTTGGTCTGTAAAATGCGTTAATAACATCATGCAATAAATAGAAAATTTCTTAACAAAATATTAAATATACACTTTTAAACTTTTTTACAATGTTCCCAAAATTTGACTTGATAAATTAAACATTTGAAACAGCACACAATATATTAGTTACAGGATTAATTGAAAAGCACACTTAAAATCAGTCACTTAATTTACATGACTTTCTACAACATGAAACTCAAGCCAACCCAAACATGCACTAGTTTTTCCTCTTTTTTTTTTCTTTTTCTTTTTTATGCACATGCAAAAAACACCATAAATGAAATATCTAGAAAGCTGAAAGTACAGAATAGAAGGCACTTTGACATAAACATGGATCTCCTCTCTGTAATTTTTTTTTTTTTTCATTTTTTCCTTTTTTGTCTTTAGGTATTATAATCATGAATGACATTCAAAACATTATATAAAATGTCTCAAACAGCATGAAAAAGAATCGAAGCTTGTATTCAAAGTAGCATTTGAGATATTCATTTAGAATATAAGACAAGAGAGTTGTCAGCACACTCAGCAAAGTATTCCATGAAAATACAGTCAATTAATTTATGTTACCATCAGAAATGAGCACTAGGCATTTGAGCCATGATATCAACCACAAAATTACCTATTACATATACTCTTGGTAGCATTTAATGTTTTCATATGGCACATATTTTGTACACTATTGAAATACACACACATACACAAATATATTTACACACACTTTTACAGAAATATGAAATTTTCACAGGAAAAAGAAAAGTCATTTGAGACTATTTGAATCAACATGGACCCAAGAAAGGTACGGCAGCTCTTAGCTGCTTTCAAAAATCCAAGTAACAGCTGCGTCATAATAGAATATTTTCTTTTAGCAAGTTTATAATGTCTTAACAAACTGGAAAAATCTCCAATGTCTCATCACAGCTAGAAAGTTATAAACAAAACAGGCAATGTCATGTTAAAGAGCATGTGGTGCTAATCATGTTTTAGAAAAGTTGATCATGCACAATAGCACTTAATCACAGAATATTTCACATCATTGTGCTGGAATGGAACACTGGTCTTCCTTGCAATGAGTACCAGAATCAATACAGTCCATGCTTATTATGACAAATGTCCAAACCTCATGCAAATAACATCTCTAACGACCGATTTCCACTTGCTCTTATAAGTGGTTGGAAGACTAGAGGTACTATGTATTTAACTATATGCTACCGTCCCATTAATACTTGACCATCTTTCCTTGTCGATATGTTGGCATTTACAGAATCTTTGCGATTTCCAGATTTCTTTTTATTGTGATAACTATGAAAATGAATACCAGAATTCAAGCCAGAGCTATTTTCACCAGTAACAACATGACCATTACTCATGGGACCTGAGGTGTAATTCTGAGATGTTGATGGCAGATATTTCTTATGCTTTAACCACACGCCATTCATTGAGTTAGTCTTTGTATCTGTCCTGAAAGGCTTCGTTTTTTCACTAGAACTTTGGAAATGATTATCCGATGAACTGTTATAATGTACATAAGAAGTGGCTGACCTTTTGTCTCCATATGGCAAAGACAAGGTTGTTGACACATCATTTACAGATTTTGGGACCTTTGTCTTGTTTGCTTTGTTATGAGTACAGCCATCTTTTTCTAACTCTGGCTTGTTCACCAGAATATCGGAAGTAACATCAGAATCCTGAAAATAAACACGGACAAGTGAGACAAAGTGACAAAGCTTAAATCAAAAGTGCTGCCAAATAATAAAACATAAATATAACCAAGAAAGAAACAAATAAGTATGCCCACAATACATACTAAAATTCTGCAAACTCATCAGTTTTACACATATGTTTTGTGAAATTTTCCTTAGGATCACATAATGAGAAATGGCTCTTGTATTAATTAATTCCACAGTTAATACAAAATCATGAGAAATGTCAAGCAATATTATTAGCACTGATATAAAACACATTTGAAAGAACCAAAATGTATCATAAATCATAATGCTATATTTTTATTCTTTAAAAAATGCTTCATAATATCCTATGATTGAGGAAATTAATAATTTGAAACAATACTAAAATCAATACAGAAGCAGCAACAAAACGTTTATAAGCATTCTAATACTGATTTTCATTTTAACTCTTAAGAGAAGAGGCACCTTTAAAATAATTAAAAAAAAGAGTTTGTGCTTTTATATCAAAATCCAATTTCTTACCAGTATTTTAAAACAACCCCCCCCCACACAAACATACACACACACACACACACACACAAAAAAAAAGATATAGAAACAAAGTTATCGTAAAACATAATTTTAAGCTTTTGCAATTTAAAGTTCAGATAGTTTGTTCATATTTCAGCAGACTTCTCATATGAAAAACTTTCAACATCCACACTTATCCGAGGATTTGAACCTGAGATACTGTAACCGACTTCACTGCCACCAAGCTCTTCAAAGCCTTCATAATCAATGGGACATTAATAGTGTGGAAGTAGAAAGATAATTCAGTATCTAAATTTATCTGTAGAAGAAAAAGAATCAAAGAGAATATTCAGATTAAAGCTTTCAATTAATTTTCCCCCTTTATTATTGCAGTAGTCTATTTGGATATTGCAGGTCTGAAGAATATTACATGAATTATTTATTTATTTTTTGTGAATAAATACAATTTTCATTTTGATTTTTTAAGTATAAAAATTTCCATTTTTTGGGTGAAAATCACATATTCCTGATAATTATACATAGTTAATGAACTTTGACAACAAACTACATTTTTATATTTCTCTATTATTAAGTAAAAATGCATATTTACAGGGTATGAAGTCAATTACATCTTTACGTTACCTCATAATTATAATTTTCTTGCTTGCGTGCATGATGTTTCTGATATAAGTGGTCAGAATGACAAAAAATTTTGACTAAGTCCCGTGCGAGTATAAAATGATTAATTACTGTGCTTCTCACTTAAACAATTCAGAAATAAATTTTATTTTAAAAAGTAGGGGGTCTAAAAAATTAAAAATATAATTCAATTATTTATAAGTAATTACATTTATTTATTCAATCATAAAGTAGGTTATTTTAGTTTCATATAATTTTCCTATTTTGAAAAAATATCATCTAGAAGTAGCGATTTTTTAATCTATCATGCTGAACATGCTGAAGACATTTTATTTAAAAGCTTTTAGTATCTGGAATATAAATAACAGAGCACATATAATACAGCTATTCAATAAGATAAAATTTCATGATCATAAACCAACTATAAAGATCGCGAGCTCGAAAAAGTGATGTATTTATGATATATTTTGATATTTTAAAGGTACTTGGCCCTTTACATAGTTAGAGCATAAAGGCTAAAATTTTATACAATCTTTAGAAACCTGAAATGTAAAAAATGTTGCTAAAATGAAAATTAATGTTAAATATCTGTCCACCACAAACATAAAAATGGCAACTTGTTACTATTGGAAATTGATTATAATTAGAAATATTTTATAAAACTAATACTCTGAAATCAACACTCACTGTGTCACTTGCCATGCTAGAAGCAGAACTGCTGGAACCCATGGAGATACAAGAAGAATGTGTAGAGGAGTGACTATCAGAAGAACAAGAGCTACATCCTTCGTTCTCTTGAAGAGTGGTCCCATTCATTTCACCACTATTACAAGATAAAAAGACAAAATGGGCAGAAAATAAGCATGCATAAAAATATCTATATTCTATTTCATTTTAATAAATTTTTCCTCTTTTGATAACGATGTAAGCTTACTTGTTCATAAATTCAGTACACATCACACATTATCATTAAACGGATAGCACATAAAAGATTTTCAAAACTTGCACTCCTTTTCTACAGTAATCACCTACTCTTCATGTAAGAAATAATTAAGATTTGCAAATTAAACAAGATTTTTTACTCTAATAAAAAGTCTTAACGATATTCCAGCATTGGATATTTGTAACTGCACTGTTCTAGCAACTTTCAGAGTTTTGCTATTTACACATTCTATTCAGTTAATTGGTTATGATGAAGCATACATGGAGCATCTGCTTTAGGACAGATGCATTTGTAGAGAAATTCCCTTACTCATGCTGCACACAAGCTCCATGTCACTTACCGGCTTATCACTTTTCAGCAGCCTTATCAACTTGGCAACCAATAGCATGCTGTGTTTAGCTTAAGGGTAGATATTACTTAGAAACATAAATGTGTATTTTAAAAATCCTTCTTTACGATATTTCATGCAATATTTTGAAATTAGCAGCTTCACTTCAGGTTAGCAAAAGCATCTTTCATTACTTTTTTAACACAAGAATGCTTCATATGAAATTAAATGAAATAGAGTGAAATACTTTGAAGAGGGTGGAAGCAATTTTTCTTAAATAATAAAAGTGAACTTTCACGGTTTATATAATTATGGCATTTTCAAACTATTTAAAATAGTGACAGCTTCAAAGAATCAACCAAGATTAAATAAATGCTGAATGGAATAGCAGAAAACTAAGCATTTCTTCTATGAGTACAGCCAGGAAAATAGAACTGAAAATGGCTACACAGGAGGTTAAAATTGTAGAACATTCCTCAAAAGTGAAACTCATTTTAAGCAATACACAAAAACATAAGAGGCTATGAAAAAATTTTTTAGGGAGTTGCTAAATACTTCACTTTCATATGATATAAGCTATATTGCAGGAAAACTTCACACAATTCTAACAAGTCTAGGGAAAATTTACGCACTTTTTAGAAAAACAATTTCTTTAAAATTTAAGGATATATTGAATTAAAAAAAAATAAGTACAAACACTGCTCTTATAAATTTAAGAGCCAAAAATTAAAAAATTGTTTGGTGAAAAGAATAAAGATTATAACACACATTAGCTCACCGTTTAATACAATCAAAGCAGTTATGATTAGCAGGAGCTCAAATCATGTGCGTTAAATATGCATAAAATTGTCAATAGAACTTGCACAGGATATAAACTAATGCATATGTGAACTGTAATCTGCTAAATTGATAAAATAATGAACAAATTTAATTTGAAATACATCTAAAAACCACTAGGAACAAAATTTAAGAAAAAGGTCTTTGAATTTATAGTAAAAAGAACGCTATAAAGATCATGCAGACTATAAATTTTGTAAATATTCCCTAGTATTTACAGAAGAAAGATTATTCAAAACATCATAATTATATTAAACTAATGCCTTAAAAAACAGAATGTACTGATGCAGGCACAATGGACACAAGAATAGGTTAACAAATCATACATGAAAAGGTAATACCAAATTGACCTAAATGATCCCAAGACAAAGACAGTAAATAAGGAGATCTAATTTTCACACTGGATTTTGAGCCCCAACCTTTTCAAATTGACAGAAAACAATCTTGATGGTCTTGCACAAGACAGAAACTTGAATTTAAAATTATTATTATGAATACCATATTTATTTCCTCCCCAGCTTTAGCAATAAGTTCAGAAAAATTAAAAAATATTCATATAATTTCCTCTTTCTTTTACCATACAAAGTTTTTTCAACAGTAAATTTATCGCTAAACTGTATTTCACTGATCATTTTTACTTCTGCTCAGTGTATTTAATTTGCATTTGTATTTCATCTATTTATTAATTGAAATGCATTTTGTGCCAATTCTTCATTAAGCTACCTGGACAGGGCAGAGGTGTTCTCATACTCAAGGAACTTTCCAAATGGGTTTTCATCTCACTTCTATTATTTAAACGTTAGCTCACTATAGCCTTATCTACTGGTGATGAGTTCCATCTTTTGAAATCTGTGTTTTCGGTTAGCCTTCTTTCTCCCTTGTTCTTCCGAGTCCCTCCACTGTGGCAAAGAACCATTCACGTGATGTGCCCCCAGGGCTTTATGAGGTAACTGAGCCATTTTGTCTCTGGCCAAGAATACTGCTTTAAGTTCTAGAAATTGAATTAGAGCTTAGTTTGGAAACATCCTATGTATTAGAATTTTATTTAGAACACAAACGTATCGCTATCAAAATTATTAGTTGGATGGGGCAAATGGATATACGTTGCAATTTTTGCAGAAGCAAGTATTTAATACATGACTAAACTAAAATTATATAAATAGCTAAGAAAAAACACTGATTTGCTAGTGCAAAAGCAGAGAAAAAGACAAAAATTTCAAAAGTTGCCTCCCAAATAGTGTTTAAAAATTTGTATATCAAAATATTTTAGTGTTTATATTTAAAAAAAATTCTATCCCCTTTTTCTGCAGAATTGTCAATGACAAAATGACTACAAAGGAAGCTTCAGTTCTTCTATCTAAATCAAATGCTACATTTGTTTCTCAACAAGAAAAGAAACATATTACACATATTGTTCACATTCCTTGAAAAAAAAATCTGAATGATAATCTGATGAATGAAAAAAATCTGAAGCTACTGTTCTTTTTGACAAAATGAACACTTCCTAAATGCAATACTTGCATCAGCAAAATACTAATAGTAACTGTAAGAAAAAAACCTTTTATTTTAAAAAAGAAGCTCACCGGCAGCTAAACAGTAAAGTTAGCCGGTTCAGCTAGGTTCAAATCCTGGCAAACAAGCTGGCTGCATGGGCATTTCCCATGAAAGATTACGAGCCAACTTCTGTTCGAAAGTTCTCCACAAAGGCACCCCATGGGCAAATAGCTTTCATCAATCTTAATAAACTAACCACACTGATCTTGAAAATTAAAATGCAGATTAATTATCAAAAAAGTGAAATCATTTAAAAAGCATTTTCTTTTTTTTTTTTTTTAAACTTGAAACACTACTTCCTAACCTTTTTAAGTTATGGTCAAACAGTATCACCTCTCTTGAATGTAACTTGTAGACAAATGCACATAAAAACTTTCAGGCATCTGTTTCATCTGCACTGTCTGAACAATTAAAAGTCATAATGAATTTTGGAAATGATAAATATATCTCATTGGCTAGCAAAACAATGCAGAATACTTTTGCACTTGTGAAAAACTGCTAAAAAGTATGATGTTTATGAAAACCATTAGTTACACCTAAATTTTGTTTTCGAATTTTTTTTTTTTTTGTCATTTTGATATACCACAACGAATTAACTGTAACTAATTTTCCATTTACAAATATGTGAATTATAAAATGTTTTCTTCATAACAGTTTATAGGAAATAGTGACTAATAAAAAACATTCCCTTAATGCAAAATTTTATAAAATCAAATTAATACACAATATGAATATCTCTAGGATAAGCAACCCTCTTCTGAGATTTCAAAATGTGCAACTGGTTCATTGGAAAGTTCATTCTGAAAATATGTGAACAGATTCTGTGTAGCTACTTAAAGAAATGAATTAAAAAACATACGTTATAACTTTGACTTTATCCTCAATATCAGCTGTAAGTGATAATGACTGATGAGGAAACATGGCAGATGGATATCCTTCATAAGCATGAAGTAGAGGACTGTTGACAGGGAATGTATCTTGAATCCACTTCCTATATTCTATAACTTCATCAGTGATGCGTATGATACGACCTAGAATGCTACAAAATTCACACAGAGAAACATTAAAATAATGTAAGTATGCTAATATTTACACTGGGGAACAATGTGCAACTCAATTTTTGAGCTATTTTACAGTTAAACAGGCACACTCATTTTAAAACTGTAGTTAGTTTTCTTTTACCACGTCAAGTTTTTTTCTATACACTTTTTATGAATGCAACCACTATCTGTGGCACTAAGTGTGGAGCATAGTAAGTACTTATTATTACTCATTCTGACATGGAGTCAGAGTTCTGGTTTGCATACATGGTTAACAGTATTTAATTTAGAGGCCAAATGAAAACAAGTGACAGATCTAAGAGAATGGAATTGCTGTTCCCCAGTATTATTAAAACAATGGAAAAGCTAAAGCCTTTTACAAGACATTATTTTACAGAAAAATGCAGAGTTGGATACTAACTCATTTCTAAGATGGTGCAGTAATTTTTTTTTTATCATGATCTCAGGAAGAAGCACAGTAATGCAAGTTCAAATACAGTTTTGTAAGATTAAAGTGAATATATAAAATAAAACAATATATATATACTGAAGTAATGTGAATTTAAATACTGACACAATAGTTTTCATAATCTTAATCATATACAGATAAAAAAATCAAATTTAAAACCTATCATAAAATTACTTTTACATTACATTGCAATATGGTTCAAAACAGCAGTTTAGTTTTTAAATATACTCTATACCTGAAGAAGAAAGATAACACAGATGCAAAACTTTTACAGCATTAAAAACCTAGATTAAAAACTTCAACTGGTCTGGCGAAAAAACTTGCACTAGGGGAAGGAGGGGAGGTGGAGAATTAACAGTGCGATTTCAGCTGTCCCGCTATATTTATTCCTTTAGAATAATAATTTCAAAGCTTTCCCCTTTCCAGCCTCATGACCATGGTAAAGACTACTTTGGAAAATGATGGAGTCCTTTCATTTGCTACAATCCCCTTGCGTGATGATGACAAAATGTAACAAACATAACTAAGATGACTACAAATAATTGACCTTGAGGTGTCCATCTGACTCATTATCACATTTCTGTATGTCATATTCTACTGGGACATTTGATGAAATACAACTTGCATTTTTCATGTTTCAAAAGCACGACTTAGGATTAGATTTATATACAGCACTGTTCTAACATATGTAATTTGACACAAAATTGAACTCTTTCATGAAATGCCATGCCACTTCATTTTCATTTGTCTAGGACTTAAAATTATGCCTAAACACCAAATTTTGCAAAATATGGTGTGAAATTTAATCACAACTTGGAAATTTACCTTAGTGCATTTTTTTTTTTTTTTTTTTACTTTTGCCAAGAATAATTCACTTGGCAAACTGCTCAGTTTACGGTAACCTATTTCAATTTCCCTTTCACTCTACGCGAATGGAAAAAGTATTGTTTCTTTTTTGCATATATTTTTACTTCATATTATGATTTTTAATCACAGTTGCATTTTTTTTTTATTTTTAGAATCTCATTTTAATTTTAGTTGCATGGTTGAATTATAGTCCTTCAAATAGTTAATTTAAAACTTTCTATTTATTAATTCACATTATATACTTTAAACGTATTTATATATAATTTTTTAAAAATTTTATTTATTTTAATAGCATTTTTTTTGGAAAGAATACTTTGTCACTCAGTATTCGTCATGATGCCTTTGAAAACTGCATCCTGCATTAAAAGAGAAAATACTGTAAAGCATGATTAATAAGTCTTTTAATGGGCTGTTGAGAAAAGATATATACATAAGAAAGTTGTATTATCTATATTTTCATTTAGAATGATGTGCATATAATTTTATCGTCCCACATTTAGTTTATTAAAATATTATCCATATTTCTGAATAATATTTTAAATCGCAACAAATCAAAACAGCATAACAAAAAATGATGCAAATATATATTTCATTTTCCTTAATGCCTTAATTTTTTTTTGTAATGACTTATTGCCTCAAGAAAACTAATGTCTTAATGATTTTGATGAGGCATTGTGCAGGTATATCCACAAACATCCTCCTTTTTTATTTGCACAACTTGTTTTCAGTGATGTTCTCAACTTTGCGTATATTTAAGCTGAGTGTTTTGAAGCTTTAGATGAGACAGCTTTACACAATCAAGTCTTGCTGTTAGTATTTTTAAAAAGCACTCTTTAAAAATTTATATTCTGGCTTTAGCATTCTTGCCAGCTGATGCTTTAAATAAGCACTGGCAAACTATATGAGCCAGTTTATTGTATTTAATGAGCAATGCTTCTTTCAGCCTTTCTCCCATCATTAGCTTATATTCCAAGAACATCAATTGAATATAATAAAAAAAAAATGTAACTGAACGTTCATATACACTATGGCCGAGCAGTTAAAAAACTGAATTTTATGAAGACTTTGTGCCCGAGACTATAATAATATGTTAAATATTTGTAAATCAAATAATAAATTATAATCTACAGATTTACTATTATAACTGGAAAGAAACTAATGTTAAAATACTGCACACCCTACTAGACAGATAGTGAACTAATAATTACGCCTTGAACTCACAAAATACAGAATAGGGTTTAAATAACTTTTTTATTTTACTCTTAATCTCAACAGATGCACAACAATAGACAAAATTTCACAACAAATTTGTGCTATAGGCAAAATTTCCACAACTTCTGGATATTTTAAATCAACAGAACAGACAATTCAAACCTCAATAACATAGTCTAAGAATACACATTAAATAAAATAAGCTAGCTCATATATTTCACTGCAATGCATTTAAAGCATCCGCTAGAAAGAATGCTAAAGCCAGAACAAATAAATTTTAAACAGAGCTGGCTGAAAGTTAACAGGAGAACACGACTGCCAGCTCTCTCAACTAAAGATTAAAAAAAAAAAAAAAAAAAAAAAAAAAAAAAAAAAGGCAGCTTAATTTGCATTCTGGCGAGGAACACGGAAAGAAGTTCTAGTAAAGACTTAAATTATAACTGGTTAATTAAAATAATATACTTTACTAATCTAATAACCTGGCTCTTGATTTGAATGGGCCCCTAGCAGACAAGCAGTTAAAAGACTGCTGATGGTATGTTTTGGAAACTAAATCAATTTTCATGATTTTTCCCCAAGTGCAATGTGAATATGAACCACTTTTCCTCAGAAAAATGCTCCATTAAGGATTTCCTTCCTTTAGGGAGATGGTCTCCATGTGCTTTGCCACATTTAAATAACCAACCAGCCTAATTTATGTACAGTTTCTAAACTAAGAAAACCAGAAACTTGCTGAAGACTAGTGTAACGATTAGAAATCATGCCTCGACAAACCACAATCGGACTTTTGAAATAGTGCTTACTCTAAACCCTATATTTACATAAAAATATATTTTGGGTTAAAAAAAGGTGTTTGATGATAAGAGGCAAGATGGCCCCTTCAAATGATATTAAGTTTGTTTAAAAATTTTATTACGCAATAAAGGATATGAAATATCTTTGAGCATGAATAATTTTCAAAAGAATTTTTATTTGTTGCCTTTGCTACACACACAGAGGAGGAGATCAAAATCTTGTATTCTTAAGTTCTGCTACTGCTAAATACTTCTGTAGTAAAAGTGTAATACCCTAGCTAAAACAAGAGTTCCCTGTAAGCTAGAATACTGAAGAAATATATAGCAACTATTTGCCGAGTTCTTAAAAGTACGTAGCGTATTCGGAAACTAAGTACTGTTTCATTCTAGCGCTGTGGTAGGCGTCCCGCGCATGCGCACTAGTCTTTCTTGTTCACTGACTTTCAATTGTCGCCATTTTGGTTGCTCTATGTTGTGTTTTCAGTTTGCTGCGCACATTCAAAATGTTTAAGACAATTAGTTCTCCCGCTGACTGTGAGATTTGTGCCGTGATTAAATTTTTGAACGCGAGGAATGTTAAACCGGCCGAAATTTATCATCAAGTGACAGAAGTTTACGGTGAATACACGATAAGTGATGGAATGGTGAGAAAGTGGGTAAGAATGTTTAATGCAGGTAGAACAAATGTCCACGCCGAGGCTCCGAGTGGTCAGCCTTCATTTGTCACCGATTATTTGGTAAGGAAAGTTGATGAAGCAATTCATGAGAACAGACGCTTCACAATGACAACTCTTTCAGAGCTTGAATTATCGCAAACTGTGTTCCCGATGGGTTCCAAAAATGCTCACTGATGTTCACAAAACAAAGCGGCTTGGTAGTGCCCTGACATTTCTCACGCAGTACAGTGATGAGCGAGAAAACTTTTTAAACCAAATTGTGACAGGTGATGAAACTTGGGTTTAGAATCGAAACAACAAACGATGGAGTGGAGACACACTCATTCTCCGAAAAAACAAAAGTTCAAAATGACAATGTCATCACAAAAAATCATGTGCACTGTCTTCTGGGATAGAAAAGGCGTTTTGCTTACTGAATTTCTTCCCAGAGGTGAAACCATTAATGCGGCATGATATTGTGAGACTTTAACAAAACTAAGGCGTACCATTCAAAACAAACGAAGAGGAATGCTCAGTAAAGGAATTGTGTTGCTCCATGACAATGCTCGGCCCCATACTGCTGGTGTCACTCAATCGTTAATTTGACAGTTTCATTGGGAGCAGTTCGATCCCCCGCCGTACAGCCCGGACTTGGCGCCGTCCGACTATCACTTGTTCCTTCACATGAAGTGCGAGTTTGGTGGCAAGCGCTTTGGATCTGACGATGACACGAAAAATTTGGCGCCGTCCGACTATCACTTGTTCCTTCACATGAAGTGCGAGCTTGGTGGTAAGCGCTTTGGATCTGACGATGACACGAAAAATGCTGTGGAGTCGTGGTTATCGAAACTGGCGGGAAGTTTCTTTGACGATGGTATACAAAAACTGGTCACCTGCTATGACAAGTGTTTGATCATTGGAGGAAACTATGTTGAAAAATAGTTTAAGACATGTATTTTTATGTAAAAATAAAATTGGATTCGAAAAAATTGTTTTACTATTTTTTTTTTCAAAACGGTACTTAGTTTCCGAATACGCCTCGTAACAAAAGAGAAGGGTTAAATTACAGTTTACTTGAACACAAAATGAATTAATAGATTGCTCATAACCAATATGGCAAATTTCTAAATGCACCAATATATAAATTCACGTATTTCATGGGAAACTGAATAAAAAAACAAATTTTTCTGCAATTCATCTAAGCATAGAATTTCAGGGTACACATCAAGAACAAGAATATTCTGTATCAAATGTAAAACGTATTTATGTGTGTTTAAAAAAAAATTATTTGGAAAATTTTCATAAAAATAATGTAATGATAAAGATAAAATATTAGTTAAAGTTACTTAAAATTAATAAAACAATCATACATCAGGATGTTATTGTTAAATTATATTGTGTTCATATTTTATTTCGCATTTTAATCTAATGGCTGCTTTAAAAATTAAAATTTATAAGTGTTAAAATATGAGATTATTTACTTATTTGAATCCCAAGGTACACATATGTGTACCTAAATTTTTTGGTCCCCAAATATACATGTACCAAAAAAAATCTTTTTTCCCATCTATAGACAGAAAGCAAGCATATAAACTTCACGAATTATTTTTAAATTAAATATTTTAACTTCGGGTGTGAAGAGGTTATGGAGGACGCTGCGAGTGAATGCACTGACCAGCACTGGCTTCAGAATTTCAGGTAAAGAGATATGAGCAGGTGTGATGAATTTTGCAGTGAGGAACCACAGGTGTTGGATGCCGAGTCCCAGAAGGTAGTCACAAAACAGGACGGCAGTCTAAAGTACGGTGAACTTCATTTCCAGGCTTCCAAAGAAACAGACTTCACTTGCACCACATAGAGGGAAGTTGTATAAACTGAGCAAGTGGATACCTCACACACTGTCAGTAACCAACAAGGATCAATGAATGACAGCCTGTTTGTCGCTGCTGTCTCAACAGAATAACACACCCATATTTGAGAGAGTGCTCACAAACGATGAAAAGCAGGTTCAAAATAAGAATCCCAAGCAAGATCATGTTCTGTCTGATGGCTTGTTGCCAAGTGGCACATTATGAGCTACAAGGCCATAATATCACTGCAGACATTTTCTTGCAATGAGTATAACATGCACTACAGCAAGAGGGAGCACTGGTTAACTGCATGTCCCTAGACAAAAATACAAGACCACATGTGGCAAGGGCAACCAGGGATACCAATTTATGATTTGGGTGAGACACTAGTGCCATTTACTATTCTCATACTCAAACTCTCAGTTTTATTGTCAGGGCACTGCATAGTTGCAGAAACATTGGTAAAGGATGCTGGATGTTGAAGGAAATTGCTTCAGACAAAACACTGAGTGCCATACACTGTTTGCCTGTTTGTTCCTGATGATCATGAACTTTTTGGTTACCTCGTGCAAGTTGTGCCACTACTTTCAGGTAGTACCAGCTCCCCATGGACACGGAAACTGATAAAGATAACAAGCATTCAGAATACTGCATATCAGTCACAACAGTGCAAAAAATAAACCTCATTCACTGTTCCTAAAAATCATTTATATTTACTGGTGAAATTGCAAAGGAAAAATTAACTAGTTACTTTATAAAGTAATGACAGTCAGAATAATTTTTTTTCTTATACTATCTGACCAAACAAAGACCAACAGTCATATTCTGATATTTCCCAGATCTCTCTTCTAATTTGTTTCCCTTTCTGGTTATGTGAAACAATAACTGCAAGGTAGACATTTCTGGCTGTTAGATGAGACTATTGCTACAGCTACTGGCATCTGTATCAGTGAGTCCAGTTCATCCAAGTTCCAGGAATGCTTCTAGCAGAGCTAGCAGCACTGCCCTGTGGCCCATAAGCTTGTATGACTCAACAGCATACCACAAACAGCTTGCGCTTTTTCATATGCGATACACTGGATACAAATGGAAGGAAAATTCCAGCTGAATTTCAATACAGAGGAAATCTGCTCTATATAAGTTGCTCCCATTTTTTGTTCAGTTAATGTTATGTAACTGAATGCCCACGAGATCTGATTTTTAACAAATATATTATCAATACATTATTAACTCTCACAAACACCATTCCTTAAAACCAACATTCAAGAAACTCTTTTATTATAATGGAATTCGCTCGAAGCTTCTCAAAACTTTTTGTACAATACGGACAGATAGTCGATTGGTAGCTGGTATCACTTTACAGTGAATGTTCATACTCATTCTTATTTATTCTTCTTATTCTTATTAATTTGGCATATCAAATATTTTTTTATGTTATCTTAATTTAGACCTACCATGTACTTATAGCCGTAAAATGGTAAAATTAAATTTTAGTTGTCTTTTATAAAGAGTAATAGAATTTCAAATAAAAGGCAATAAATAGGTTTGAATTGCATGTAATGATTAATTTGCAGGAACCAAATTTATAAACAACCTTAATAATGCTCTTAGCAATAATGTAAAGTATTTGCTGTAATACAGACGGGTTTGATTTATTGAACTTTAAAAGAACTTTTATGCATGGTTAACTTTTGACTATAAAAACAAATTTAAATTTTTTAAATTAAATTTTTTAAAATTTCATTCACGAACATCGTCCAACTTAGTTTTCTTACTTTACATCCCTTTACTATCTAGAGATTTTTCCAGCCATTATAATAGTATTCTTAAATATTATTAACTTGTAAGACAGAGAACATATCTAAGATGCTCTTCTAAAGGACTTGATCCTAAAAAGGGATCTGCTAATCAAAAAATAAATTAGTACAGTAGCTGCAGTAATAAATTAGGGAAAAAATCCATTTTTCATGATTATCAAACTTACTTCTAATTTTAAAAATCACAAATTTACCTATGCTCACGAATAACACAACTGTTGCTTGGACGGACAGCCTCACTAAGTACTTTGTACGCATATTCGAAAGCTGTTTTTACATTCAGTGCTCCATAGGAACTTCTTCCAATGTCATTTCCTGAAATAAAATATTTTAAACTGTTATTACACCAACACTAAAAACTCAACTATTCAGAAAGCTCAGGAAGTGCTGAATGCCGGATAGTAGAGCATATTAAAAATGCAGTTCATGACAGAAAAGCCAACTAAATGGGAGAAAAGAATTTCTCGTCTAAAATTATACAAACAATCAGCTTATTTTTTATCAACTTAAATATGAGAACTGCACATTTAAATTATGTGCCATTTTGGGAGAGGAGACTATATTTTAGGCATAAAAACCAACCTATTCATAAGAAAGTAATACATCTTACCCAATTTTTTTTTACGAAATCTCATTAACCATGGGATTTAACAGAGATCTAATTAAACTTGTGCTAGTCATTTATTTCCACAGGCGTTTGAAGATACAGATTACTCTTTAATTAGTTAGATAATGAAAAAATACAAATTGCAGATATACCACATAAATGTAAATCGCCTGTCATAAATTTTCACAGCATGGTCCATGTTTACTATCATGCAGATTAACATAACCTTTTCTTGCTGCTAAGATCCCATAATTTTGAAAACACCCTACTGTATGCTGCTCTATTGAAGGCGAATCTCAAATTTTACTACTTTTTTTCAAAACACGACAGGAAAGCAGATAAGCAGTACTTAACTTAGATTGTTCTTTACAAATATGAAACACATTTATTGAGAATTAACATAAAACAAGATGGAGATTTAGTGACTACAGCATGTTGTTATGCTCATTGATTATTGGAGCTAAATCACACTGTTTGGCTAGTTTCTGTTAGTCAAAAGTGTTTGGTGTTAAATATACCGGTGACAGTAATTCTTACAACTGACCAACACATTACATGCTTTGGATTGGTGTATTTCATTATGGCAAAGCACACTAGGGGAGGACTTTCTAAGGGAAACTGGCTTGTACACATTACACATGGGGAAAACCACGAAAACACCGATGCAGCCAGCCCGCAGACCAGCGTTCAGCGACTTTACTGCTCGGCCGCTGGTGGGCTTACATGCTTTGCAATCTCTCATTATATTTCTACTTCTCTTTCTATGAGAAGTGCCCAGCTTTATAGACAAATTATATATATAAAAGGGGGGAGTATAGTGTTGGGAGAAGGGGTAATCAACATCTGAAGTCTGCATATTATTTTATTCACATTTTAGATGTTGTAAAGCAGGGTTCCAAACAGTATTCTTATGATTTTATAAGTCTCATTTATTTAATCTTGTTTTTTAAAAAAGTTTCTAAAATCCTAAAATATTCTAGTTATTTGAGACTTTTCCTAAATTAAAAAAACTGCACTAAATATGGTTAGGCTGCAAAATATTTAGAGAAAATTCGCAATAAATACACTGCCTTCCAAAAGTTTAAGTAACAGCATGTTTTTTAAAGCTCACCCTAACAATAATATCATTAACATTGAAATTCAGTTCATATGCAAGATAATAATGAAGTTTAAGAAAATATATGCAAAAACAATAGCTATCACTTTTATTTTATAGAAATATATGCATATAGGTGTTCGAGAAAAAATGCAAAATTGAGTTTTGTTCACGAGTGTTCAAATGTTATTAACAATTTCATTGACAATATTCAGGAGAGTCTATCAATGCCCAGAAGTCGTTCGCCCAATTCATTGATGTGGCGGGTGATTGGATGGACGGAAATGGGGATGCTGCTAGATGTCTCAATGTCTTTCGTAGTGTGGTCCATCAACTATTGAATCACTCTGAATCCGAGGATTCAGTGTCTCATTCTGTATCAGACATGTTCCAGACAAGCCATGAGTGAAGACACCTGCGGAAGTCCATTATTTAGCTCTTTCAGCCCGAAAGAGGAGCAACATTACTGTGCCTCAGTGCACGGCAGATCATTTAGTGGCAATAGGAAAAAGAATCTGAGCTACTATAGTCTGCAAGCATCTGCACAATACAAGCCTGTATGCAAGACGACCAGTTTTTTTTTGTGTCCCCTTGACCCAAGGACACAGAAGTGCCTATTTATATTGGGTAAAAGAACACGTCTTCCAGACCAGCCAACAATAGGCATCAGGCATCTGTTCTCTTCACAGGCGAGTCCAGGTTCACATTGGAGAGTGATTCAGGTCATTAGCTGATCTGGAGGAAATAATGCACCAGACACAGCCAATCCCACATTATGGAAAGACACAGTTACAGAGGTGGTGGTACAATGGTTTGTGTTGGGAGCTCTCTCAGGGGTCACTGACTGAATGTGTTCCATGGAGGAACTTTGACCGGTGTGAAATAATCAAAAATAGGATCCTTGATCACTATGCCTGCCCATATGCCACTGCTACTGGTCCTGGATTTCTCAGGTTACTAAAGAATATCTTGAGGGTCACAGTACGGAGGTGGATCTCAAGCCCCAGACCTGAATCGGATAGAGCATCTATGAGACTACCTTGAGAGACATGTTGCTGCTTGAAGTCCTCCTCAACAGTTGTTAAATGAGCTTGAACAAGGATTACTCTTGTGTCTGGTCATTGCTTCCCACTTCACTCACTGACAGCATGGAATATTGCTGCTGCCAATGTACTGCAGTAGGAGTGGACACATTCCTTATAAGAAACCATTTTTGTAATGTTACCAACACATTTGTCCTCAAAAAAGTGTGATGCACTGTTTCTCCAAGACTGGATTTCTCTGTCAAGAGTGCAATTATTTTGTTGTTGTAATTCACGTTTGTGTTTGACTTTAGATACATTCTATGATGCATTCATTAAAAAATGTTTACTGAACATGTCCTCCTAGTTTCTTGTTTCTATGTTGCTTTATTCTTAAATTAGACACAAAAATATGCTATTCCTTAACTTTTGGAAGGTAGTGTATGTCAGAGATTGTTTGGTTGAAACTACTTTTATAACTAAGTATAAAACTTGTAAACAATTACAATAATCATAGACATAATAAGCATAAAACTTTAATCACATAGATATATTTGAAAATACATACATATTTTTATAATAAAAATGTTAATAGCATGCAACATACTTTTGAAAGATCACAATGAAAATATCAGCCACAAACTTCAGGATTAACTGACATGCAAATGTATGGAACAGTAAAACAGAAAGCTGAGCACATTTTGCATACTAATCACAAAAGTTTATTTTTAGAATTCTGAAATATAATTCTTAATCATTTTACTTACAAAAAGTTTCTGCATTTATTTAAAACACAGGTAATAAAGCCTATTATGGAAAGAAATACAGCAGGCTCTAGAAAATTAGTGTTGGGTACTTATTTGTATTTATGCATAACATTACAATTACAAATATTAAAGCTTTCAAAATAATATTTTTAAAGTTTTAAAACACAATTAAATGGCCTCTTTCATATAGTGCAACCATTGTGGACACAATTTTGGCTGGCATTCTGCCAAAACACTTAGATTTGTCCACTAAAGGTGTTAATTATGTGCCGCGGGGTGAGGACTTACAAGAGAGTCCTTTCTTTACTAACTGACTTTACAGTCAAGAAGCAAAGTTCTCTTATCATCAGCTGTCTTTAATGTTTTTGTTTCACATTCACAGAAATGCTAAGATCTGTATTGTTTTGCCAGCACAGAAGCCTAGAATGTTTAAATCTTTCTTAAAATTTATGAACTCATACTTTTAAAAATAAGGCCACTAAAAATAATGGAGCTTTATATTTTTAGTGGAAGTATTCTTTTTGTAGACAAAATTCCTCCTCATTTCACTGGGATCTTTACAGATTGTAATTGATTTTACATGCTGTGTGCCAATTTTGTAATCTTTTACATAACTGTTAGAGAATAGTTTATTTTTATTGATAGGTTAAAAGGAATTCAGCTGATAAAAACAAGGCAATACCTAGTGTTGCTAAGAAACTGCTGCATAATGTAATTATAAACTGTGTCAGGACTTGTATGGCTTTTGATCTGCTTTCGAAATATTACATGTCCTGAATAGGAACAGGGAGCTTACTCAAGCTATGTTCAAATGTGTGGAATGGACAACACCAACAGGAAGGGTGTACGGAACCCTTTACTCTCTATAAGATTACAGGTGTTCTCGTACTTCGGGATACAAAGACCAACCACTTGAGGTCTGAATGTAAAAATATAAAACTTCTAACTAAAAGCTAACTTTGAATTAGTTTACAAATGCCTAACACTAAGACTGGCCTTTTTTAAAAATTTACGTATGTAGTACGCAAACTGCCGAAGCTACAGTACGATTTAAATATCGAAGAGGATTAAACTTCTGGCCTTAAAGGCAAGAAGCAACTGATTGAAAACTCGTACAGAAATGCAGTGGCCAGGTGGCTCACTTCCCCTCTCTAACTCCGTGCAAAAAGCCACAACTTAAATACTTGAGTGTTAGCAAGTACAATTTGCATAAACAAGTTAACGCATTTAATTCTGGCCGGAAGTGGAAAATAAGTTTAAATAAAGGAAGTTTTAAAATAAAATAAATGTTAGTAAAACTTAAGATCCTTACAACTGTGACATGAAAGCTGAAAATGGGAAGCTCAGCATTACCATCTCACAGCCTATGAAAAGAGGCAGAAATGGAGTAAATTAAATTCAATTTCAATTAAATTACATAGCAAAATCAAATTTGAAAACATATGTATTTCTGCATATTGAATAAAAATATGCAAGAATTTAAATATTCTGTAATCAGACAGTTAACTACAAATAATGATCAGCATATTTGCTTAGATTACTTAAAAGTATTCTGCCTCCTTAAGCATGCTCTTTGAATGCTGTGGAAATAAACAAGGGAGGGGAAATATTAATATTATTACATAATATAAAAATATAATTCATGTCCATCTTCCCTATTTCATGAGTAAAACAGACTGAATGGCGTGCATGTTTGTGCTCATGATCAAACCATACCATGTGTATTATATGCTTAACTTCTGAACATTTACTAGATAGTAATTTTATATTTTCATTATGAATTTACATAATAAATCAGATTTTTGTTTAATATTTACTTGTGAGCTTTTGACTCTTAACTCAAGAACACCCAGGTGCCCATGGATCACATTTTCAGAAATGCTGGCAACGACACAGACCACCTTTTATGGTCTATCGCACAGTTTTCATGGGTTATTTGATCTTATGATTTAAGTAATTTTCAATCCTTTACAGCTTTTGATCTCAACAGTTTATATTATTGTCAGTTAACCCCTTCGCGTCGACTGTCACGTATACGTGCCAGCAACGAACACACTTATCTACCGGCCGACATGCAGGCGTGCCAAAGCATTGTTGCGTTTACTACCGACTGTCACGTATTTGTGCCAGTACCTTGGAACTTTTTCAAACTATAATTTCTGCCACAAGATGGCACTGTATGTCCATATGATTTCAGATACATGTACATTAGACCTACTCGAAATGAGAGAAGCATGACTCACATACACGTGTTTTTATTATATAAACAAACGGGGAACTAAAAATTTCCGAATGGTGTGATTTATGACGTCTCTTTAAATTGCACTTTTATTCGCATGTGGTAGTTGTTTATTGTAAGTAGAAGTTTTATATGCGCTAAAGCATTGAGTATTTCGGTTTACAGTTCAGTTTTTAGAAAATAATTAGATCTTGTTAGACGGGAATTCTTTCTGTTTTTACCGTTTCAATGTCGAAGCGTCGAAAATGTTTAACAGAGCATGAAATAGCAGAAATGATGCAAAATATTTCAGATATTGATTCTGAAAGATTAACTGAAAGACATTTTCCAAAACTTTGTTCAGAAGAGACTGATAAGAAAATGAGACAACGATGCTTTGTTTGTTCACATTCCTGGAAAAATCCTCCAAAACGGCAAATGAGTTATTACGAGTTCAAGGAATGTAACGTAGGACTGTGTGTAGATCTCTGTTTTAAAATTTTTCATACGAAAAGAGAATTTTAAGTAATATATTTAGTTTTCAGATGTATAATTTAAAAGTCATAAAATGGTGAGTAATTAAAATAAAATGTGTAAAAATATGCATTTAACAAGAAATAAGGTAATTAAAGTATATATATAAAATATCTATAAAGCATATAAGCCGTTTAAATACTTGATAGAGCATTATTAAACAATGCATTGATACTTCGGAAATTTCATGGATTTAGACTTAGTAGCAAAAAAGCCCCCGGCCCTGGAGAGACACTGCCGGCCTCCGCGATAAGCGCGCGTTTTCGCTACCCGGCTCGAAGGGGTTAAGATATCTTATTGCTTAACAATCAATTTTATACAGGTTGTTAAGAATATAAATGCTTTATGTAAGTATGATGAGTGCTCACAGATCAGCTGTATAAATATTTGCATTTTAATGTTTGTTGAAAAATGAATGAAATCAGCATTGATGGTTTCCTAGGTTATACAATTTTTGCAAAGCTTTTGCTCTAAATTAAAAAAAAGTTCTGTGGAAGAATTATTAACGAAATATTATCTATCCACGTAACGTTTTTATGAAACATTTCTCGTCAATCACAGAAAAACAGACCACTATATAAGGAATAATATCCAAAGTAAAATATTAATTTTTTTCATATTTAAATGTAATGAAAGCTATTCATGTCAGTTCCAAAAATTATAGACATATTTATCAGTTGCGCTGATCACAGGAAAATATAACTAAAAGGATAAAGAGACATAATAAATTAATCCCTGATGATTCTATTATAAAATATGTTCTACAACAGTTTAAAAATATATAATAAAAATTTGCATTTCTACTTAGATGTTTCAAATAAAATAACACATACACTCCTCTCTAACTGTAAAAGAAACATATCAATGCAAAATTTAAATTTAGGCAAAACAGCAACCTGAGAGTGGAGGAGATTACAAATAAAAGGATGATCTGATTAAGTACTACATAAGAAAGAAAGAAAAAAAAAAAAAAGCTAAGGAACAAGCATACAAAAATATCAATGAGGAAGGCAAAGGGAAAACAAACTTAGTTTTATCTTTTGAGCAAAATGATAACTAAACGTGAAAAAAACTACGAGTCTGGAATCTTGAAAGCAACTATATTGTAATTATTAGAAGTAATAATTTTTTTCAAAAACGTCATTAAAGGAAACCCAATTTACCAAGTGAAGTTTTGTGGAAAATTTTCTCAGAATTAAAATTAAAATTGTAATCATGATATGCTCTCAAAAATTTGCTTATTTCTGCTCTTCAAATTGAATATTTATTTTCTGATATGAAATTTTATTGCTTTCTGACAAATATACTATACATATTGATAAGAAACACTACAAATTCTCCAAAAGTTAAATCACAGATGGCATCCTTAGCAGCATGTCTGTTTAAAAGTTTACACAGGAAGAGTTTAGAAAAAAATTTTCAATAATCCAACTCCCTTCTTACCTGGTAAGAGAGGATCTTCGATACAAAGTATTGATGGCCTGTTACCATCCGTCATGGAATTCAAGTACTCATCTTTCATGAAATAAGCTCCACCATTTTTTATGCTAATACCAGTGTTGCGATAATTGAAGTGACGGCCATAAAGCTCAAAAAACATTATTAAGAGACTTCCAAGATTATTTTCGGAGAAGTTTTTTAGGTGCTGAAAAAAAGAAAAATAAATACATACGATCACACATGCAAAATAGGATTTAAAATATAAAAGTATATAACCAGCTTTGAGCTTAAGAAGAATATCTTTTAAAAATGTATACCGTGCTCATGTAGTTAATTCTTTTTAAACAAAGAACAAGCAGATTCAAGCAATTTTAGTGCAGTCTAAAGCAGTAATCTCCAAGAAGAATGCTCATCAGCATAAAACTGATCTAGCGCCTAAATCTAAACTCACTCACAGCCACTCACATCTCACTATTTAATATGGCTAATTAATGGGCAGAGTAAGCACATGTAAAAGCTTTAAAAAAATCAATCCTAGTTCTTCGAAAAATGTGCTTTTCCGGAAACTTCTAAAATGCCTTCAAATTGGCAAGAAATCACAATATATTGCCAAGGCTTGGTAGGAGGACTTCCGCTCTTATCTATAATTTTACTTAATTAATAATTTCACAGCTAACTCGGAAGTCAAAGGTCTATAATACGAGGGCTATCCAGAAAGTAGATTACGTTTTGGAATAAAAAAATAAACAAAGTATAGGAAACAAATTTTATTATATACAGATGAAAGCCACACTCAAATACTACTTTTCTACATAGTCACCATACAAATTAAGGCATTTATCGTAGCGATGTACGAGCTTGGAAATTCCTTCGTCGAAAAATTCGGCCGCCTGCGCCTTCAACCACTTCGTTACACTCGTTACCTCTCTTGCAGCTGTGCGTCGTCATCAAAACGCTGCATAGCCAGCCACTTCTTCATTGCTGGGAATAGGTGGAAGTCGCTCGGTGCCAGGTCGGGACTGTACGGCGGATGAGGAAACAACTCCCACTTAAAAGATTCAAGAACTTTACGAGTGACATTTGCCGTGTGGGGCCGGGCGTTGTCGTGAATCAACAAGATCTTAGAGCTCAACATTCCTCTGCGCTTGTTTTGAATTGCTCTTCTGAGTTTTTGGAGAGTTTGGCAATACCTTTGAGAGTTTATTGTAGTGCCTCTTTCCAGGAAGTCCACCAAAATTACACCTTTTCTGTCCCAAAAAACAGTCGCCATCATCTTCCTTGCCGACATTGTTTGCATGCATTTCTTGGGTTTTTGGGGAGAACTTTGTGTGCCCCCACTGCATTGATTGCAATTTCGTTTCACAGTTCACATGTTTCACCCATGTTTCGTCACCAGTAACGATGCGATCGAGTAAAGAGTCACCATCCTTATGGTAAGCGTCCAAAAAGTTCAACGCTGCAGCCATTCGCTGATTTTTGTGGTCCTCTGTCAAGATTTTTGGAATCCATCTTGCACAAAACTTGTGGTAACCAAGCTTTTCGCTGATGATTTCGTGCAACAAACTTCGCGAAATTTTGTGGAAAACTCAAAGAAAGTTCCGTTATTGTGAAATTTCGATTTTCACGGACTTTAGCATCGACTTTTTCGAGAAGTTCGGCGGCGGTCACTATGCTGGGTCTCCCACTTCGATCTTCGTCGTGAACATTGGTTCGGCCATTTTGAAATCTTATGACCCACTGACGCACTCCACCTTCAGTGATAATGTTGTCCCCATACACTTCACGAAGCTGCCGATAGATTTCTATCGGTTTACAGTTTTTTGCAGTCAGAAACCTTATTACTGAGCGCACCTCGCAGCTCGCGGGATTTTCAATTAACGCAGACATTTCAAACCGTCACAGTATCTGAACGGAGCACAGCACGAACCTCTCACTAGCACGGCTAGATGCAGACTGAGCTGCGCAACGCTCTGACCCCAAGATGGCCGCGCTAGCCCCGCCCCTAGCGGACACAGACGGAAACGTAATCTACTTCCTGGATGGCCCTCGTATTATATACAAACAGACAGGCCATAAATTTCGAATTAATTATGAGTAAAATCATCAAACAAAATGAATAAACAACACTAACAAAATACATTAAAAAGAAATTATTCACATAAATTTAAAATAATATTAAATTCATTTTTCTCGCTACAGGGTCCTTTCTCAGTAGGACATACGGAGCCATTATGAGCACTTATAATACTTAACACACAAACTTTTAGTTTCATGTCACTTGAAAAACTAATCTATAACATTTCCACATATCGGTCTGACATTTTCTACAGCATGTCCTATTAAGACTGCCCAAACTCTGCCCAGCCAAGTTCCTCACTTAGGATACATAAAAAAAAAAATCTGATGTGTACACCACGACTTCCTTGTATGGAATATTAAATTAAATGCATTTTTTTCTTGCATTTCATTTAAACTTATTGGTTTGAATTAATTAAATCTACTTCGCCGACAGCGCATAAACCACAATAGAATAAATGCATTCTTTAAAATTCACTCTAGTATTTGTTTACCATAGCGACACTCTGGCACTAGATTCACTTAACAGTATTTTTGTTCATATTATAACTCAGAATGCACAAAATTTATATTATTTAAAGAATAGAATTATCTAATCATTGCCACATGTTCTATTCAAATACAATAATAAAGCTAGAACGATGTATAAAAGAAATTAAGCAAACAAAACAAAAAAGAAACAGTTTTTCACAGACGATTGAGTATTTCTCATTCATTTAATTCAGATCTCACTTTTCAAGAAGGCAAAAATACATAAAAACTCAAAACATCTAAATTAAAAATTACGAAGTAAATCTTAAACACTTATTTCCTGGAAAACATTCCAGAAAGGATTAAGCATGATTTAATTGGCAATAATAAATGAAGGCGTTATCTTTGTTGTTGCGAAGCTAAGTTTCTCTAAATTGGCGACAAATCAACTAGTCTGCTGTTTCAAATGTAAACAATCAATGGCCGCCATTAAAAAAAAAGGCTTAGCGGCACTTAAACAACTTTAAAATTGTTGACAATTCTAAAAAATATTGCACACAGATTTATTAAAGGCATAAAAAACCTTAACCAGAAGATAAAAACAACATAATTCCAATCATTTTTAAAGCAAAAAAAGCAAAAATGTACAATTTACAAAAAAAACATATAGAGTAAAGAAAACTGAGATCACAGACGGGTAACAGAGTGGAGATATATATAAATATATTTATATATGTTTTGTGTGGCCGATTGCAACCAAAAAACAAGGTGCACATCTACATGTTATAGCAGACCTATATACAAAATTTCAACGTTCTGAGGTTACTCGTTTTTGAGTTATGCACGATACGTCGTACGTACATACATTCGTACAGACGCTACGAAAAATTCTCTTCAGAATTAATTTTAAAGCAGTTTTATAATTTTTTTGAAGGAAAAGAGTATTTTATTTTGTCCTTACGTACAGATATCACGCAAAAACATTGTTAAATTTCATTCGATAGCGGTCAAAATGGATATTTTCGTTGAAATATGCTGCCTGAAACTTTTCACGATTACAATACTTCCTTTTTACTTTGTACAAGGAAGTAAAAAAAGGGTCTGTGCCTATAATATCTAAGATAAACGCAAAAGAAACATGATGTCATATCCATTGCATTGACTGCAGTTTCAACCTATTTCAGTGTTTCAGTATGTGACTGATTGATATGGAATATCCAGACCACTGGATTGGATGTGGAGGTTTGGTTTTCATCAGATCTGGCACATCTGGATTTCTTCCTGTGAGGCCATCTGAATTAGCCTATTAAGACAGTTACTACAGGAAGTGACTTAGTTTCTTGCCTTTGCTGCTGTGACGTGTGTGGTCAGCCATTCCACGGTGCCACATGCATGATTTGATATGTGTGGCACATTCCAAGTCAGGAATATGTGCAGAGTTTGGTGGTTTTGAAAGGACACCCTGTACACGCAAAGCGAAATAAATATATTTTCACATCAACTAAGTTCAAGGAAAAGTTAATTACAGATGGTCTAACGAAACTTTAAATTCATACTAATGATTTATATTCTCCAGTATCAATATAGATACTATTTCTAAATCAAGTTAAGTAAGTTTTTGTACCAGAATGCATAAGAAAAAACTTTTTGGTACTTTTCCGTTTTGCCGGCGCAAACGATAAAAGTCGACAATAATGGTACAACTGATGCCAAACGGAATATCTTCGCTGGTAAACTTTTACGCTTCATTTTCAAAACAAGTCGCAGCCATTTCTTATCAGATTGATTGTTTCTTTCAATACTGGCATACAATTACATAGAATTTTTACAAATGACAGTTAAATTTTATAAACTAAGACAGGAGTCGGCAACCTGCGGCTCTTTTGTTCCATACGCAACTATTATTTATTTTATCGAAAAAAAAGAGAAGAACTAAAGAAGAGCATAGAGAATTCAATCTGGATTGGACGCAATCGTTCGCTTTCATATGCAACTCAGATAGCCTTCCGACTTGTCTCATTTGCCACAAAAAACTCACACACAATAAGAAATCAAATTTAGAGAGACACTTCACTAAAAAACATACTCAGTTTGCCAGTAAATATACAGCCGGCGAAAAAAAAAAAAAAAAAAAAAAAACAAAAAAAAAAAAAAAGAAAAAAAAAAAAAAAAAAAAAAAAAAAAAAAAAATAAAAAAAAAAAAAAAAAAAAAAAAAAAAAAAAAAAAAAACAAAAAAAAAAAAAAAAAAAAAAAAAAAAAAAAAAAAAAAAAAAAAAAAAAAAGAAAAAAAAAAAAAAAGCTGTCGACGAGCTCCAAAAACAAAAACAGCAATCAAGTTCCATGTTAAGTAACTGGGCGCAATCCACAAGTAATGTTAATCTGGCAAGCTTTGCGGTATCATTAGGAATTGCAGAAAAAGGCAAAACATTCACAGATGGTGAGTATGTCAAAGATTGCTTTATACGTACATATAAAGAACTGTTTTGTGATTTCAAAAACAAGCTTTAAAAGACAGCTTTCAAAGAAATACCGCAAGTTGAGGCACTTATATTCGACACATGGAATAGTCTTCCAGATTGCTACAGTGAGGTGAAGAAGTTGGCATTTGGAGTTCTGACTATCTTCGGATCGACATATTCCTGCGAACAAGCATTCTCTTGCATGAATATAATTAAAAGTACAGTAAGAAGCCAACTAAGAAATAAAAATTTAAGAGTCGTGTTAGAAACTTAAAACAATAAGTTATGAGCCAAATTCATCCAAACTTTCTAAAACCATGGAAAGCCAACGCTCCCATTGAATTTGTTTGCTAAAATGTTAAGGCCGGAAAATTCCGTATAGAAGGTTGCCTTTCACATTCATTTATACATGAAAATTTCGGCTAGTTTTTAACGTATCTGATTTCAGTTTGGATGTATATTGGAAGAAAAGGAATCAAGGTATAAAAATGAAAGAGTCATTTTTTAATTAAAATCAAGAAAATATCACTTATTCATGACATTTTGAGGAACATTGAAATTTCAGGGCTAAACCCGTAACGCTCAGAGGGTTAAGTACAAGTTACATTGTTTAGTAAAGTTTAAATTTTCTACTTGAATAACCATGCAAACTTATCACTCCCATTGAATTTGTTTGCTCAATTGTTTGTTATTGAAGTACAAGTTAGTGTTGTAAGTAAATGTTTAATTGTTTTAATTTTTTACCGAAATAATAATTATCTAATAATGCCCTATATATATCTTCTAATTTGTTGTGAAAAACACTATTTATATATGAATAAAAAGATACTTTTTTCTTATGAATAAATAGATTAGTTTTTTTTTAATCAAAAAACTTTATTTATGCGAGTACTATTTATTGTTGGCAATAAAAAATTTCGTGGCTCTTTAAAAACTTTGAAATTTTGTAAATTGTATTTTTTGACTGTTCCTACTCGAAAGGTTGCCGAACCCTGGGATAGGGTATTCACCCAGGTGCCTGAATGCGTGACTTCATCACTTAGAAGACGTAGTTTAGATGTCATGTGACCACCCTGCACGTTTGGGGATTTCGAAGGAGCCTCCTTGAGGATTTCCACTGTTGCCATTCGTAATTTATTAAATTTCATCAAACAAAGATATTATTAAATAGATGCTCAATTTGACAACACTCATATCGAGTAAATCAAAATTATTTCAAATATAAATACACATTTCCACATTTTAGATTATTAAGTGCCTAACTCTTCCAATGAAAATTTAAATTTAAACTTATGTTTCTAGAATTTCGGCAACAGAAATTCGTCAACAGATGGTACTGCAATTAAGTCAATTAAGATGTAATCACACCGCTCACCCGAAGGCGATACAATTACATAGAATTTTTACAAAAGATAGTTAAACTTTATACCCTACGATCACTTGAGGCAATTAAGTCAATTAGGATGCAATCACACAGTTCACCCGAAGGCAAAAATATAAGAAAGGCAAAATTAAGGGTTAAATTCACCAATTCTAATGAGAATGCACTAGCGAAATAAAGACTGTGGTTTTACATAATTTCTGTAAGCTATTCATATGAATTGAAATAATTCTTCATTTAAACTTGTATTCCAAATTAAGATTGAACTTGAAGTTAATGTAGATAATTACTGAGAGAATTATATTTTTGTAGCGTAAGTTTACGTGAGATGAGATCACTTTGGGTCACGTGATACGAAACGACGAATCAAGATGTTGAACACTGAAAGCATAGTAAATTCTTAAATTGATGCCTTTTTACAAATTTATTGTTTTTATTTATTTGCTTTTTTACAAAATTTTAAATCAGATTAATATGTTTATGTCTTCAAAATAAAAAATTCTTAGAACTAAAGTTTTTTATGTGTATACTGTATTCTGTCGCCAACAAAGTCTGCTTGGCGAGATTTGCGCCAGTGAAATGGAAAAGTACCAACTTTTGTCATAAAGAAAACAGATAATGGACAAATTTGTTTTTATTCTAAATATGAAAATTATTAAACAGCTTTAAATACATTACCATATGGTTCCATATAAAAAAATAATGCAAGCAATACTTCTGCTTAAATATTGATACATTTCTAATATAATAAGCCAGCAGCCAAATTATTTAAAAGAGATATTTTGTCAATATTCAACTACTTATAATTTCAATATATGTATCTAAATACATCATTTTCTATTGCAAGCTAGATAACTAACGCTCTTTTTTGCAACCTGTAGATTTCATTTACAATTTTGAACTTCCAGGTCAAATAACTTATTCAAAACTTTGGATTTCTTTAAACATGCCATCATGATAAATTGTGTGCAAACTTTGCAGGCATTACCTACCTAAAAATAAAACAAGTGAATTTACTTTTAAAAGTACAGATGTTAACAGACATTATATCGAATACAAAGGATAATGAATCTTAAGTAACTAACTGCAATTAAGCATGGGAAGGACTGAAGGATTAATATGCATTTGGATGCTTCATACATGTGCAACATATGAAAAACTCCTCTGCCAAACCCAGTTCTGCAATAACATTAAAGGGATTTGTCACTGATCAGCATACAGCTTAAAAATATTTTCCAACATAAGAGAAAAACTAATTAAATGTTCAAAAATAACAACAAATGTTCACTACTAATTTATTTTTGTTATGGCAAATCACATAAGGGCTAGTCAGAAGATTCGAAGAACACTACGGCTATCTTATGTATTCATGGAAGACTTTCTAAGGAAAATTTGAATGTGTTTACATTTTATGCGAGGAAGACTTAAACCCTTGTTCAACTTAATTCACGGCAAAAAATAGATACTGCGATAAACCGCAGCTTTAGCCAATGGTTGAACAATATCTACAAGACATTTAGAAACAATTCACTTTAGCTAAGAAGTTTTCAAGTAAAATGGAAACAATGTCCTGGACAGCATTAATTGGATTATGTTAAATTATGATTTTTGATAATACAGGATAAAAAAAAAACTAAACTCAGTAGCGTAACAGCCGTAGTGGGCCAATGCCTGCAGTGTCCCGAAATCTGCTTTCTTGACCATGGGCAAGCGGTGCTTGAGCATATGCTGATTAAATAGTCGGCTTGTCGCAGGACCCCCAGTGTTTAGTCCACAAGCAAACTTGGTACTCATTTTATCGATCCAAAGGATGGAAATCAAGGGATGAAAGGCTGAGTCGACCTTGCCCAGACCGGGAATCGAACCCCAGACATGTGGTATACAGGATAATTCAGAAAGAATTACATGATTTGAAATTTTTATAATTTCAAAAACTAACAGCACAGAATGATTAATAATCCATAAATGCTAATTAGTAATTTTTATTTTATAAACGTATGATGCATCTTCTTTTAGTTATATATATAATCTCAAAGGAATTATGAAAACTCCTATCAAACAAGTTTCAATATATTAATGGTTACTTTCTAAAGCAACAGAAAAGAAGTTTGAAAACCTGTTTAGTCTTGTGGGTAGTTAAAAAACCTTTCCAAACCAAATACTTTCACATATCCCCCAAAACGAAGAAGTTCCAGGGAGGGTGAAATTCAGAAACCTTGGGAAACCAGTTTTTTTAAAGGTTTATTGCATATGATTGACATTCTACTCGTACTGAATACAGTTCAAACATTGCCCCCAGGAACTTTGTTTAAGCACTGCACCAGAAAACAGAACTAAATTTTTAAGCTTCTATAAAAACAAAGGAAAATAGAAAAGGGAATGAATATCTGTATATGTCTTGCAATCAACCAACAGAATAATTTACACAAATAAAAAAATTTAATTCCTTTAACCTCTGGGCATAAAATAAAGCAACATAACAACAACACTTAAAACCAAATGGCCTACTGCGAGTTTTCCTTATAACGCAAAGCCATTATTATTTACAGTTTGTCTTTTACTAAGCACAATACCAATTTTATACATACTGGCGAATGCTCATGAAAGATGCATGGTAATAACACCATGCTTTTGCAAAAAATGTATACAAATTTTGGTACTTACGGAAAATCCCATCGTCCATTTTGAGCTATTAAAGAAAAGACGCTAAATTACGCGATTTTTCGCCCAAAATGGAAGTTTTCTTTAAATACGCAGGGTTTGGTGTAACCTTGATTACACATGTTAGTTATTATTCTTGAGTAAAGACTCCTTTTTTTCCCCCCTCTACCACACATCTTCGAAAAAAATATTAAAATTTTGAACCTACTACAGAAGAGCATGCTGTTGAATATTTCCAAAGTTATGGAACTTAGCAGCCTCAAAAAATGTGTTAATGGCAACAATATGGGGCTTTATTTTTCAAAACTGAGAAGCAACGGCATTGCAACGTTAAGGCTTGTGCGAAGAAGAGTGTCAATATGAAAGGGAACGTGGTTCCAAGGGAAAAACCTAGCAAAAATAATTGCTTTTAAAGTATATCTCCTTAATAAAAAAAATAATGGAAATATTTAATGAAAAATTAAATAAACAATAATATAATAATAAATTTGAAAGAAAAATAAGAATAGAATGTTTTTTCTTATATTTAGTAAATGGTTTTTTTTTGTTTGGTGCCGTCTCTTATGATTGACGAGATCTTCTGCAAGTACCAAAATTTTAAATTATATAAAGACTTGATAAATACCAAAAATGAACACAGAGTATTGACAAAAATAAGTATCTAAAAACACTAAATTTAAAAAAATTACACAATCAAGTATACTACTACTTATTTATTTGCAGAGTTCACATTTAAACTGATTACCTGCAAGAAGCTAATAGTAAGAAGAATCAAACTGTAAGAACTAATTCCTCCCATAAAAACTTCATTTAGATCTCTTTGTAAGAGGAACTGTTTCAGAACCAAAACAAGCTTTGGCAAAACTGGATAAGTGTGCATGAAATCCTGAAATTCCAAATGAATATTAAGGATAAATAAAATTAAAGAATTTCTAGAAATAATTAATTATAAGTGAAATGCTATTAAGTCTACACTTACTCTTATTAAGTTTGCACTTTTCACTCCATTATTCATGTTGAAACTAATATCGATTTTTGTGTCAGTTTTGGCATCAGTTAATTTGACGATAGGGACCTAAGAATTCACAAATATTCATTAGATGACTTTATAGTATAGATATAAGAATTAAGGTCGTTTTAATCGCTTAGATCTTTTATATGATATACAGAAGCTAAATTTTAAACATTAAAAACTGAATATTAAGAACATACTGAAAAACAAGAAGCACAGTAATTGTAAAGATTAAACAACTTACGGAAGCCTTATCTAGCACCTTTATTGAATGTGCTTCAGCTATATTGTTTTCTAAAAGTGCCTTTTCTAACATTCGAAAGGAGATCTCCTTCTTTTCTATGACAACTAGATCTATATCACTGAAAACATACAAACAGCTTTATGAAAAATCATTTGCAGCTGATTTGTACTAAAATAGTAATTTAGATTACAAATGGTGTCAAAAATAAATAAAATATGCCAAAATTTGCACAAAACAACTTTTGAAAATGTTATTTAAAATGAATTGCCTGATTGCTCTTAAAAAAATCCAGGGGACAGTTACTGTTTTTTTTTTTTTTTTTTTTTTTTAAAAACCATATTTACCCCGATAAATGTCTGTTGCACCAAGTAGAAAATTTTTCATAAACCTGGGTAGCACACCGGAAGAACATTTCATAAGCATATGCTAAAGAAAATTCTTTTGCATAAAATTTATATTCTAACATTTTATTTACATTGTAAAAATTTTTCATTATACTTTAATTTAAAAATTTTAATGCCAGACAAAATAGTAAATATTGTTTTAAAATAAGGAACACAATGAAAACCCCAACCAGAGTTGGAAAATATTTAGTAAAACATGATTTCTAGCAACATAAAGGTAAAGTATTCCCTCATCGCTAAAGCTCCGTTTTTAATAGTGTGGCTGTATATGTTGTGGATGTGCCTCTCAAATCAGGGAGCGAGTTCACTTTGGTTGAAATCTGTGATACAGTGAATCAAGATGAACCAGATGGAACTAAACCATGTTTAATCCTTATGCCTTAGGTGCCACATGGTAAAGAGGATCAATCAGATAATAAAAATGATCGTAACAGATACAACAAATGGGCTTCTCTTAAAAATACTTCAGAAATTTTGACATAACAAGAAGTCTACTTATTGAACAAGACAGCAATCTTACTGAATTTTTTTTAAAAGGATAATTGCATCTACAGCTGGCATGTCAAACTCCGTATTCCCCGGGAGGGGGGGGAGTCGGCAGTGAACAATAGTGCTAATTGCAAGAAACAAGAGGCTACTTTTATTCTTAATGATATAGTGAATAAAAAAAGTCAGCAAATACATAAAAATCTTAGCTAATAACAACTGTAGTTCGGAGAGGGGGATTCTTTTTAAGCATGAAACATACAAATCCCTATGTATCTTAGGCTAATAGAGATGTATGAACAACTGAAAATGTATTCTTGTTTAATTACTGTTAGCATATGGAAAAAACGAAAATCTGAAGTTGGGTGCCTTCAGTCAGTTTAATTCCAAACCATACAACAATATAAAAACCTTTTTTACAGCTAGTTTATATCCACGAGAAAAAAACTACTACTACTACTGAACATTTACGTTAATTTTGTAATATAACTGCCTAAACTTGATGGAAATACCTATATTTGAATGACTTGCTACAAGGAAATATTTTAAAGCAAAGTAATCCATAATATGTAATATACTTGGAATTTGATTTTTTTAATGCATTAGTACATCAATTAACTTCAATAGCTTGATTAGCCAGTAATTTAATCAATCATTAATTAGATACAGCTTATACTTAGAGCTATAAACCAATTGCTATGATGATGTTAAGAGGTTGCAATTTAAGAACCAGTGTAAATGGACATTACAGCTACCTAGATGAATATTTATGTTGCATTTGAACTAGTCATTTTTTTAAGCAACACAAAACTTAACTGCTCTTCACTGTCACAATACATAAAAAAAACTTCAAAGGACAAAAGTAATTCATTAAATCATTTTTAAAGTACAAATTTTAAACTTATAAAACTGAAATGAACTAAAAAAATGTATACTTTTCCTTTCCCACTGTTGAGTAATGATGATATACTTTTTATATAAAAATATAGTATGATACTTTTATATAATATTATACAGTCAAAAGTCGTTAATCCGGACCTCAAGCTACAAACTT